AGTACACTTCAAGTAAACATTCCTTTGGAATCATTGTAAAAATATTCAAATCATGATGTTCTCTATATTTGAATGCAATTTTCTCTACCAAATAGTATTAAATAAGCTTTCTTTTTACGGTTTTAAATTATTCAATTGATATCTTTATTACTACTTCAAATTCCAGATAAGATGTAAACATAGTCTTTCTCTTATTTAATAGGTAAATACCAAATCTAAGTATTCAAAATTTTATTGAATTCTATTATTATAAACATTTCAAATAGTTGTTTATATTTGATAACTACTATACACAGAAAATGATTAATTTGAATCAGAATCATAATTATAATAAATATAATATAAAACTAAATATTCAAATCTAAAATTTTACTTGTTTCTAAAATTATAAACATTTCCAATAGTTGTTTATATATTTGTTAACTACAATTCACAAAAATGACTAATTTGAATCAGAACTATAATAATAGTTTGGGCCTATCTTAAAATCTAATTTAAACTTTTCATTCGAAAACAGTTCATTTACATTCTGATGTTCTTCAGGTTCTGAGTTTTCTGGAGTATGAAGATCATTCTCCGAAGTCTCTTCAAACTTGGAATATCCTGGTGTTTGAAGATCATTATCCAAAGTCTCTCCCGATGTGTTTTCAGGAATCTGAAGATCCTTCTCCAAAGTTCCATTAAGCCATGAGAGATCTACCATCATGTTATCCAAGGTTGGTTCCATATAAGACTCCTTATTTTTTATCAGTGAATTTATCCATTTCTCCTTTCTTTGTATCATTTTATCTCTAGATATTATCTTTCTTTCCAGCGTGTACATTCGCAGTTTTCGTTTTTTATGACTTTTAAGGTTTCTTGAAAGTTGGTTAATTTTCTCCTTCCTACTCTCTGAGGATTTCCTCCATGCATTCATAATCTTAAAAGTTTTATGATATTTTTCTGTTACACTTTTCAGCCGTACTTTCAATTTCTCCACTTCTTCTTCTCTCAATTCATCATTTGCTTTTAAAGACGCATCTTTCTCTTTAGTTATTTTCTCTTTTTCTCTTAAAAATCTTATTGTTTGCAGACGGAGTCTTGTCTCTAGCAATTGTTTTTCATTGTTTAAGGTGGTGACCCTATCTTCCTTCTTTTCCAGTTCCTTGGAGGTTATTCTCAGTCTCTCCTCCAGATTTTTCAATTCCATCAATTTCCTTCTATCCTCTTCCATTCTTGAGTCTTGTTTTCTGTTCTTTTCTTCAATGATACTCTTTTCACTGGTTAGCCTATCGATAAATGTATCTTTGCCTTTGATAGTTTCCTTCAGAACTTCTATGAGGGATTTAGTATCCTTTAGTTCCTTATCTAATTCCACATATCCTGGTGCTTTATCCTTCATTTCAATTTCCCCTTTCAATTTTACTATTTCTCTCTTGAGTGTATCTATAGCTTCGTGTACCGATCGCTTTCTATCCTCTTCTAAGCATAATGTAATGAACATTATTATTGCTATGAAAGCTCTTTTGTTTGATTGTATCATGTCACACGTGTTTAATAAGCTTATTGAATCTGGGTGCATTTTGAGATAATGCAACCTGAACCGTGTAGTGTGCATGTTTTCGAAACAAAATGGACACTTTATTTCTTTCCACGTTCTGAGGTCTTTTTGAATTTCATTAATCAATGTTTCGACATCTTTTACCTCCCAGCTTTCAATTTCTGTTGATGTTGAACAGAATTTATCAAATTTCAGGAACACTGTAGGAGGTACGATTGGGTTTCCGGCTATATAGCTTGAAACTGTTCCAAATGCTTTCTTCAGTATTTCTTCATATTCTTCTCCTATTTTGATTCTTGTGGAAATCCGTTCTGGGTTTTGATTTATCTCTTTTTCGATAGTTCTGACCATCTCAATATCTCCATGATTTTTCAAAATATTGTTCATGAAATTTTCGTTTTCTGTTCCGCAGAAAAGCGATGTCTTTTTATGTGGAACACTTGATACTATTGCTCCTGGTTCAGATGGAGCTAGCAGTGCTTTTGGATTCACTGTATCATATGAGTTCATAGCCGGGTTGATCCCTCTCATATTAACTGTTGATGGGTTTACCCATGGAGTCAAATCTTCAACTGTATCCGTGTTTCTTTCTTCATAAAACGAGGCTGGATAACAAATCTGTGTTTGTAAAACTGGAATATTTTGATTCTCTGTACATAAGCATTTTGTATTTTCGTCTGTACTTGCTATTAGGTCATCTACATTCACTGGAATGTCAGAACTTGGACTCCTTTCTGCATGCATTTGCACATCTCTAAAGGTTTTAAATATATTCACCCCTGTTCTTATTGCTACGTTGTGTGAATCCTTTATGATACGCTGGCCTATAGTTATGTTATCTGCTTTAGACTTATGTTTTCTGAGCATACCTGCATCATTTATATATCCGGCTCCCAGCAATATATTAATATTTGGATTCTCCTTAACCTCAATATTTTCTGAAGCCGGGATTTGAACTGTGTGGACTTTGTTCTCTTCACATCTGTTTATGTAGAAATATTTCTGTTCAAATGCCTTCATAGTCTTATGAATCGTAACTATCTCCGGTGTCGGATTAACTGTCCATTCTCCCATTGTTGTCCATTCAATTATCAAACTCTTGTATGCCTCTATCATATTCAGGTGATATGTTAACGGGAATCTTGATTTTAGGTCCCATAAAGACATAGCCAGAGTTTCAGTATGTATCTTTTCTATCTCTTTTGACTCTAATTTCAGTTCGGTTTGGTTTGGTATGATTTCAACTTCTTGCCATTTTGATTCATTGAATGCATCCATCAAATCTCCTGGTTTTATTGGTTGATTGTCCACTCTTGTCTTGATAATGTTTTTCCAACATTTCATAACTGCACAGTGTAAATATCTCAGACCAGCATCATCATATTCATTCTCATAGCCTACATTTTCCAATAAGCATTTCAACACAGGTTCTTTGATCATCTGTTTCACAGCTTCCATTTTTAGTTGACCCTTCAGGTATCCGTCGAATTTACGATAAATATATCCTATTCCTTTTATCGACATTTTTCCTTCTATATGATTCATCTTCGGTGAATATATACGAATATATCTTAGAATCATCATTAATGTTTTTATTTCTGGTCCTTGTATTATCTCTCCGTCTTCTATTTCCATATTCTCAACTGAATTAACCAATTCTTTCACGGTAGTATGATCAAATTCTTTGATATTATATTTTTGTAGTTCATTTATAAGTCCTTGTTTTAAACCTTTCCTGTTCAGGTTGTGTGCTTCATTCATGAACTGCATTGGGTGTCTGCTTAGCTCTAGGTGAGAAATATTCGGTTTTACTTTTTGAGGAAGTCCTGATGCATTTACTTTCTTCCATTTTGTCACCTTTTTTATAGGATCTATTACTGAATCGCATATGGAGTCCACGCTTCTAGCTTTCCTAGGTTTATTTTCATTTATTTTTCCAGCTTCATTTGTTACAAATGGACTCTTCCAATTATGATTAAATATTTTTCTTGTCATATTGGTGTCCCAGTTAGTTGGAATATTTTGAGTTGATTCATTCAAGTTTGGCTGGAAAGTCTGGTTTGTTTCAAAATGTTTTGGGCTATATATTGGAGACCTTATAGGCCGGAATGGTGTCGGTTTGTTGACTTCCAATTTCTCCAATTCTTTATTTTCCAATCGTCTCACATTTGTATTTAACTGAACTGTTCTTTGGGATGTACTAACTGGTTTTCTAAATGTATCTTTCCGTGTCTCTGGAATTCTTGATCCTAATCTTTCCCAAATATTTATTCCCAATCTTCCCTTAACACTCGGCTTTTCCTGTATCCTTGTATTCTCGTTCATAACATTCCGGGTTTTTATTTTGTTGTTATCGTCAATATTACTCTTTTGTTCTTCTTCATTCATTGTTATCAATTTTCTAGTTATTTTCCTTCCATTTTTACTAGAATTTCCCGTCTCAGAATTTGTTATTTCAACATTAATTTCTGATTTAATTTCAATTTCGCTTTTCTCCAGTCTTCTCTTTTTGTACTCCAGATGTTCATTGTATCTTTCCAGAGTCCTTTTCCTAGATACATCCTCCAATTGTCCGTCTATAGTTGTTATGTTTTTGGCTTTATCTTTTGCATTTTCCAATTCACCATCTATGTTAGGTGCTACGTATTCTCTGTACGTTTCTTCAGCTTTCGCAGCAGTCTGTACATCTCTTTTGTCTGTTCTTGTTTCTTTACTATTCAGTAATCTGACTATTTGTTGTTTTGACTCCTTTGTTTTCCTTAGTTGTACATCTAGTTTGGGGATCTTGAATTTTTGTTTTTCCTCCGAACATATTTCTTGAAAACTAGGTGTTTCATCATCAGAGAAATCTAACTCGGATTGAAGGTTGAGAGTATCCGTTGGAGAATAACGTATGTTGTCCCCGCTCATGTCTAAATATTTATATGTATTATTTCTTTAAGTATGATTTAGAATAGAATCATTTTAATTTACCTCTTCTTTTATAGCTATCCTTTCTTTATTTATCCATCTTTACATTTCCAATTATTGAGTTATTTTCAGGTAGTCGAGGGTTAAATAGTCTAAAAGTGAAATATTTTATGTTTTTGTTCGAAAAAGAGTTTTATAAAACTGTTATTCGTATCCTTTTAGATATATACCTCTATATTAATTGTAAAATTCTTCTGTATATTCCCTTCCAAATTCTAGGTCTAGTTTTTTCCAGGGTATCAAGGGTTAAAATAATCTAAATTGAAATATTTTAGCTAATTTATCGAAAAAGAGTTTAATAAAACTGTCATTTGTATCTTTCTAGATATATACCTCTATTGGAATTGTAGAATTTTTTGTATATTCCCTTTCAACTTCTAGGTCTAGTTTTGTCCCAGGATATCTAAGATTAAATTAATCTAAATTGCAATATTTTAGCTAATTTATCGAAAAAGAGTTTAATAAAACTGTTATTNGTATATTCCCTTTCAACTTCTAGGTCTAGTTTTGTCCCAGGATATCTAAGATTAAATTAATCTAAATTGCAATATTTTAGCTAATTTATCGAAAAAGAGTTTAATAAAACTGTCATTTGTATTTTTCTAGATATATACCTCTATTGGAATCGAGAATTCTTTGTATATTCCTTATATTACTGCTTGTATTTGGTTCAACTATATTAATCTCGCATTCACTATCTCTTACGCCTAAAAGATTTTAGGATTTTTTCAAGAAACCTGATTATATTGCAACCAATTCAAAAAAAAATTTGATATTAGTTAAAAGATTTGTGATTCAACCCTTTCTTTTCTTTAATAAGCTGAATAATACCTCGTAGGTTTCAGATTAAGTGTGTCCTTTCTCCTCCTGTTTCCAATCCTCATCCAGGGTTCGGATTAGTACAGTACCTGGAAATCATTTATGCTTCTTGATAAATCGATATTTTAATAAAACATTTTAATATTTTAAACACACGCAATGTTGTATACACGTTTAAATTGCGTTTTATTCTCATTATTAAATTATCTTTTTTTTCCTTATTTTTTTTTAGATATTTAGAATAGAAGAAATTATTAATATTATCCTTCAAATATTTGTACAATTTGGATTTCGTTTAAGATATTTTTTATTTACCTTACGTATCATTTATGTCGATTGAATCAGGTATCTTACATTCTCTCACTTATGTTATTGTACACTCTGAAATATATATAATTATTATTTTGAGTAAATGCAGATTTAAATTGAACCAAATTGCATATAACTATTTTAATCAGATGCAAAGTATTTGATCATATTTGATAAAGTGTATTTTGCCAATTTTATTAATTTTTTAGTTTAAATGACTTTGCTTCTGATTTAATGTTACAAATTTACAGGAATAAATATCTATAGGTCGTCGTCTTCTGAGTCGGTTGTTGGCTGTGTATCTCCTAGATTGTCTTCTTCCGAATCTGATGATCCTATTGTGGCGTTGTATTCAGTTTGATGATCTTTCAGGTAAAATGGTGGTTTCACTATTGGTGTACATGATTCTGTTTTGTATGGTACTTCTCTACGTTTAATTTTTTTACGAATTTTATTTTCTTTGTATGTTATGTATAAAATTTCGTCAGTTAGTCTGTTTGTCTGTCTCTCCTGACGATCAATGTTAGATTTCCATTTAGATAAAAGATCATTATATAGGTCTATATATATTCCATGTTTTATCAACCTAATATTATAAAATGTTCTATTGTCCTTCCATTCATCCCCAATTCTCCTGTCTTTCAATTTCAGGAGCCTTGCTTTATCATATGCCCTCATGGTTTCTGTTTTTAGCAATTCATTTATCTCACCCCAATTTTTGCTGATTTTTCGCAATTCGGATTTTGCGCATATTTTCTTGCATTGTAATTTTATTAATTTATTGAGTGATTTTAGATTCTGTTTAGAATTAGGGTCTAGAGATTTCCATATCTTCTCACTACTCCCCAGATCTTGTTTTTGTTCTGATTTCCAGGTAGACATCATTTCTGAAAGCATACAAGTATTATATATTAACACTTGTATGTTTTATATTTTTTATATATATATATCCAATATTATTCTTCATCCGAACTGCTTTCTCTCGACTCCGGAGGTGTGGTTAACCTCATCTTGATTTTATAACCATGTATCCCATTTTCCAGATCCATTTCATGTTCCAAAGATGGTTCTTCAGGATCCCAGATTTCGTGTATAGCAAAGTCCTCGGCCTCTTCTAGATTTAACTGAGATCTTGCACATTGTTCCATTCGAAATAGTTGTTCTGTTTCTTTGACGAATTTATTAAATGCTTTTTCTTGGAGTTTAAGATTTTTTCTCCACTTTTCCAAGAGTAATTTTTTCATCCAACAGTATAGTCGTACACAGTTTTCACTCTGTATCATCAGTTCTGTATTTTCGTCGTCTTCGTAATCAGATCTTTGCAAGTCCATATGGTCTTCTATTTCTTTGAATATTTTTGCATTTAACCGGTGAATTTCGTTTCCTATTGCCAAGTTTAACATATTCCATCTGACATATTTTGTTTGGCCTTTATCACAATGTTCCTCTCTATGCTTTTTTAGGAGGTCTATGTCCTCTGGTGTTATTGAAGCTTCATCTACTGATGTACTCCCTGTCATTGATGTACTCCCTGACATGTACATATTCATCCATGAAAGGTACTTATGATCTTCTATTCATCTTTTCTGTAACATACATACTAATATTTGTCTAATTTTTTTTTAAATACTTTACACTTAGACTACAGTCCCATTGCATTTGTCTACTATTATGTATATATATATCATATTTATTTATTTTACTATGTCTGCCCCTTATTTCTAAATATCATATACATTTAAACCATTCATTTTGCATCCCCTATATAATGTATCATACTGTACTACAAAGTATATTTTATATACTTTTTTAGACTATTATATATATATATATATATATATACTACGAACTATTAAATATAGAAATAAAACTCCTCGTCCTCATTTTCATTCCAGTTCCTATTATCTTCATCTTCATCTTCGTCGTCATCTTCGTTCTCATCTTCGTTCTCATCTTCGTTTTCTTTTTTATCTTTGTTTTCATCGTTGTTTTCTTCGAAATTCGTTGACATCAATTTATTGATTGCAGTTCTCTTTTCCTCCAGTTCTTCCGTTCTACGTTCCAATATCTTGAACATTTCTGCACGTTCTTCCATTGCACTATCCAATGCTAGTTCACACCATTGTATTTGTTTCTCCAATTCGTCGATTCTGTCCATTTTCTTTTTTGCTAATGCTCGATATGTTTGTATTTCCTCTAAGTTTTTATTTTCCTTTATTCTCTGCCTTAATACTTCCGATTCCATATTTACCAACCATTTTTTCAGGTTTTCTGGCTCAACCATATTGATGAATGTGGTCACCTTATCTTGGAGAGAATGAAGAGCTATAAAAATACAACCTTCTCGCCCTTCGATCCTACTTAGGCGTTTCTTGAGATTATATGAGTCTTCCTCCAACTTTTCTAATTTGGATCTTGTTGTGTCTTCCTCTTCAGGGACTGTAACTATGTCCTTCAGTAGTTCCGATTCTGCTCTATTAAGAGCATCTTCATCAACGTCATATCCTTGTGGGTCAGGTATATTTGTTTCAAAAATATTAATCAACGCGTTATTATTATATCCATGTCCTCCAAATTCGATTTCTGATTCGTAATCTTCCTCCCTGTTATTCCAAAGAATTTGAAGTTTTGTCATTCTCGATAAGTCGCTTGCTAATGTTCTCAAGTTATTTGAATCCACCATGTTTTCGATTGCTGAATTCAGAGTTGATGGCCCCGACTGAAGTGGTGTTCTTGGTCTAAAGAAATTACTCCTTGGTTTTCCTAAGAAATATTCCTCTTTTGTGTCTTCATTATCCCGTCTTTCTTTCTTCTCGGATTCATTGCTGATTGATGAGTCCGAATAGAATATCTAAATAATTGTTGTTTTAATACATAATAGCATATTTTCATGTTTATTATATTTAGTTTTTTGTGTCACCTGCTCTTCGTATGATGTACACGAAGTTGAACGAACTACTTCTTCTTGGACCAAATTTATGGCTTCAATTTCGGGTAAAGTATTATTGGCCATATTCTCTGGAAGATGTATTCTTTCAAATATTTTCCTTCCTCATTTCGATTAGATTACAAAAATTTATTCAAAGCCATTTCATATGAGTTGTATGTATACAGAATTCTCATTTTTTATTTTATGGTAAAAATAAAATTTATCTTAAAGAAGAATTGATTTTATATATCTATACATTCCATTCCTTGGTTTAAATTACTAATATTTGATCTTAAATTATCATTCTTCTTAAGAGTATGCACATTACGGTTTATTTATTCTAAATTTCGTTTTTATTTTCTAAATCTGTAATGCGGTCCTTTAATATGTATAACTGAGCATAAATGTATCTCACAAGGTTCTTATAACGATTGATCAATGAGCGATAAAAGGTTAATCTTTTTTCCATTACAAATAATCGATTTTTTAATTCTATATTTTCTAATCGAATCCTCGAGTGTTCTAATTCAAATGTTTCTGCATGTTCCATTTTGCATCTCACTCTAAAGTTCTCGCAGACGTTTGATTTTTCAGTGTCATTTCCTAGGCATTTATATTTTATAATTTATTGATTTCATCTTTAATTTGTTCGGAAATTATATTACTTTAATATACCTTGGTCATTGGTGATAATATTCAATTTATCGTCAATGTACTCAATTACTAATTTTTGGGCCATATTCTCTGGAAAATAAAATTTAAAAATTTTCCATATTTTCATGTCTTCTCGAAAATAAAATATTTCGGATTGTTTTCCTTTTCAAAAAAAAATCTTTCAAATGATGACTTGTCTAAGATCCTCTACATTGTACTAGAGTGTAAAGATACTATATTTATTAACTACTTTTTACATTAATCAAATATTTTACTACTTTTTTAATCCTTTGTTACTATAGGATGCCCTCTACATATAAATGTTCATATTGTTCGTTAGTATCCTCCGCAATCAATTCTGAGATGTAGCATTCATTTATACGCGCCAAATCTTTCGATAATTTTGACACTTCCTGAATAAAAGTTATTCTATCCTCGATCATCTTCATTTCTTCGTCTTCCAGTTTGTCCAACGTAATTTTGTTCAGTTCGAATCTTCTTAATGATATTCTTGCAATATCCTTTAATTCTTCGTTCAGTGTTTCATCTTCTCCTTTCATAAACTGCTGTACTTTTATATTTCTGTCATTCATCTTTTCCAAATTCTTCATTATTCGCATCTTAGCTTCTCGGTTCCGTGTAACCATTTTTTTCAACTTCTCCTTTTTCATCAAATTATATTTGGCAACTTTATTCTGAAAATCCGTCCGTGTATCTATAATTTTCGATGGAAGTTTTGTCGTCCATTCTTTGTATTCCGGAGTAAAAAAGAAATTTTCTCCGTCCTCGTCTTCATCCTCAGTATCTTGTTCGTATTTTTGATCATTCTCGTCCTCATCCTGCTTATCGTCAGTTGGTTTATTTTGATTTATGCAATGAGGGTCTTCCATAGGGTCGTCTTCTTCAATATCTTCTTCAGGATCCTTGATAGGCACCTGCTGTCTTTCTTCAACAGGGTTTCCTTGATCTGCTGGGTCTGTGGAAACTTCAACCATATCCACAGATGATGTATTCTCATGAAAATCCTTTTGTTGAGCTTCAGGTGTTATCTCTATATGTTTTCCATGAGGGATTTTCTCTTTCAACCTTATTTTCTTTTTAAGTGGTCTCGGCCGTAGACTCCTTAAAGTTAAGGCTGCCATTTGTTCCTCGTATGTTTTGGGTTTCCTCGGCATGATTCTAAATTAAACTGAGTTAAAATATAGTTCATATTTTAAACATAATATTTACTTCAACTTTTTGTTTTAGATTCTTTATATTTTATTTTGTATTATTTTAATTTTCTTTCCACTTGTATATAAACAGATTAATATCATAAGAAGTTTGTAATAAATAAATTTATTCCAGCATCCCATCATATTAGTGTCAGTTTTGTTCATTTATAAATTATCGTTCTCCTCCTTATTTAATTAAGGGATATGAACTGATATGTCATAGTTTTATTAATTTATTAAAACTCTCTTTATTCAATTAAAGATTTTCAACGTTATAGTGAACAATTATTTTCCACTGTTTGAGCAGGATGACTGTTTATATTTTATTTATTTAAAACTCCATTGTTAAAAATATTATTTTCTTTATATTTAGGTCCTGGCTTGATTACCTGTTGAAATGTACTGTCCTGTTTCGCAAAGGCAGTATACGTTCTTGGTGTCCGTGATTGTTATGTTCTTCTGTCTCCGTACTCCTAGGAGAAAGAATATCAGGTGGTTTCTCTTTAAAATTGTTTTCTTTTTCCTCATTTTCAATGTCTCTTTCCATAAGCTTTCTTATCTCTGTTATGTTAGGATTAATTTGATCTAAATCAGGTTCAGATTTATCGTCCTTCTCAAAATGAAAAAGCGGTTCGTTCCAATTGTTTTGGCCTGGTTTCGTGAATCTTGCTAAATTAACTATCTTTTTTATATAATTTTCCGCTTTCCATTCGGATATAAATTCGTTAATTTTAATTTTTCTAATTTGAGTTTTATGTACTGTATGAATAAGACCAGTACGTAAAGAAATAATTTCTAGATTTTTTGCTTTCGAAGCTTTACGCAAAACTTGGAACAGTTCTAAATACAGTTTCGGAGATAATTGAGTAGATACCCCTACTGGAGGGTTCGTATTGTCTACAAAAAGAACTATATCTCCAGTATGTATTGTTTCCGGTCTTATATTCATTTTTGATTTTTTAATATTTTCTAACTTTTTTAAATTCCTTTCTTTTTCAAATTTGTCAATAATTTCATCATCGTTATTTACAAATTCGAATATTTTCTCTGCACCTAACATATTAAATATGTTTCTAGATGTTGACTTGAAGAAAAATTCTTCCCTACTTATTTCGGAGTTTGAGACAGGTATATTATTTAATGCCTTTACCGTAATTGTTAAAATGTCAGCCCAGTTTGATTTTGTTAAATTAAGATTCGGGTCGTATATTGCCTTTTTTAACAAATTTTTTATCATTTTAACTCCAATTTCTGAGCGGCCATTTTGTTCGTGTCTATACGGTGCTGAAGAAGTTATTATGAATGGAATTTTCTTCGCTAAATTTTCTAAGGCTTTAGTGATTCTTCTGTCACAATCGGTTCTTACATAACGTGGAAATCCTATCGTAGAGAAAACTATGTTTAAAGATTTTTCAATTGTTGAACTTTCTATATTTGACAAAGGAATTGCTATTAAATAATTGGTATAATCGTCAACCACTATTAATATTGCAGTATAGCCATTTGATGTTGGTAGACTTGGTATTAAATCCATATTCAATAGTTCTCGAGCAGCTTTCGCAGTTATTGTCCGCTCGGTTTTTGTATGTTTTTCTGGCAATTTTGACATTGATGTACACCTGCAAGTGAGGCAACTATTTATATATTTAGTAATGTAAAGAGCAGCAAATGGATGATAGAAATATTTCTTAAAACTAGATATACATTGACGTTTAGAGCAATGTAATAACTTTTCGTGTATGCATTTAATTATTCCTATCAACAAAATAGATGGTATACAAAGTCTATAATGTCCTGCAGAATTTTTATAAAGCATCTTGTTAACAATTTTAAAATTATCTCTTGAATCATCTTTACATTGCTTATAAATATTGCTTAAATATTCGTCGTTTAATTGTAAATTTTTAATGCATTCGTTGTCAAAATTTTCGCTTTTCATTGCGTCTGTGTATAAAGTAGCATTTTTTAAAGTTTGTCTATTTAAATATTCTTTAATTAGAATTTGATGTTCTTTTGGATCAAGGGTCATATATTTACTCCTTAAATAATCCATACCTGTTTTTTTAAGTTCCTGCTCATGTAGTTGTTCTTGTTCTAATGACCTCGTCTTCTTACTGTATTCCTCCGAGATATCTTCTAAAATATTGTAAACATTAGCATATTCAAATATTTTCGTATTTTGGAGTGAAATACTCTCTAAAAAGTTATATTCTGTAGATGAATCAATGACATTTTCCAAGTTTTCAATATTTTCGGCTTCAGTTATTTTAATATTATTTCCAGAGCTTCCAAAACCCTGTGTTCCTCTTGCAATCCCGTCCGAAAAGTATTCAATATGTTTACATTCTATTAGGTTAGCTACATTACATTCTGTAATTACCATTTGACATATGCTAGTTCCTTCAGACAATTTAATGCTTTCTTTAGTGATATTAGTTACACCTACAATTACATCCCCCTGGTAATTTGAGTCTATGACACCTCGGAAGATGTCGAATTTACCCATACTCCTGGATTTTGGATAAATAATACCACATGTTGTTGTATTAAGTAATATTCTTGTCTGCGTATTTATTTTTGTAAGAATGTTAGGTTCAAGAATGATTTCCGACTGTACATACAAGTCTATCCCACTATCGAAACCATATGGTGTAGTTTTTGGCGGATATAATCCGGTACAAATAAAATAAATATCTAATTTTTTACCGTTTTGATATACTTTTATTTTATCCTTGTTCGAAATGTCAATTTTATCTAATTTTTCGATTTTTGAATGTAAAAGTTTCAAATTTAATGAATAACCATATACATTATCCATTTCATTCTTATCTTCATGTTGTACGTCTAAAAAAATCTTATTTGGTGTTAACTCATTTGTGAAAATATTATTATTAAGGACTGGCATTGTCTTAGTTGTACAACCGTCGTCCCAAAGTACATCATGTTCGGATACAACCATTTTAGGTTTATTTTTAACCTTGCATTTTGTACTGCAACTTTCCAAAATATTAATATTAATTTCCGTTATTATCTCATCTTTTAGATTTTCGTACATATTATATAAAGTTGATGAACTTGATTCTATACGTCTCATTTTAAGAAAATTATTTAATAATGCGTCTCTTATTCTGTTTTTATACTTCGGATCCAAGTCTTCACCGAAATATTCATCGATAATTCTCTCAAAAAGAGGTTTTATATACATTGCTTTTTTTGTTTCTGACCCTTTACTTATATCATGATTCAACAAGTTTTTAATGTCGTCTTCATTGAGTTTTAAATCCTTAGTTCCTTGAACTGTAATTGTAGAATTTAAGTCCGCATTTTTTATTTTATTACTTATTTGTTTCAATAATAAAATTGTATCAATATATTTTTCTTCAGGTGTTCTGTCCATATATAATCGAAGGAGCGGTTCTAATTGCTTAGGTAAACATTTTTGTCTATTACCCTTGTCATTTTTAATTGGCAGCATTTCGGACTCTAAATATTTTATTAGCGTACTATGATCAATGCTGAAAAGAGGACCGATTTCTGGTAAATTTTCAGCTGCTTCTTTTGATAAATTATATTTGTCTACATTTATGAATCTGGATTTACTAAATGCTCTGCTTAATAAATCTGATAAGAAATTAATAGGTCCTGGTATTGAAAAGATTTGAAATTCATATAATTTGGCCATATCCGTTAAATACATCACCAGGTTATTTGCTAGAATCGAGCGCTCTTTTAGCCTGCTAATATACATTAAATTCTTTGCATCACACAGGATAATAGGTGGTTTAGAACTTAAACTTAAATATGGTCCAAAAACTTTGAAACCTGTTGCTAGGCTTATTGATTCTTTAAAGTTTGCGTCTCTCCTTGAGTCCTGATAAGAAAATATTCTGCTGTTGCATCCACAAATTCGTAATTTTCCATCCTTGTCTCTAATAAAGAGAACTTGGCTAGAACTTATTTTTGAAGCATCCGTAGCTAGAATTAATTGATCGTCTTCGTTTGGGATATTTAGTCTAATATCTGCTAGAATTAACATTTTTAATTGATTAAAAGCGTCTTCGCAATGTTTATCCCAATAGAATTTTTGTGACCGTAGCACTAGATACCATGGTGCTATAATTTCCCTTAATTTCGGTAGAAATTTTTCCCAATAGTTTAAAGAAAAAATTCTACTGTTTAATTCTGCTAAAGAACTTGGTCTACCCCACATGAGTATTGCATTTGCTTTTTTCTCATCTATAAACATTGTAGATTCCTTAGAATTAACTGCTATTCCCAGAACTTTGAAATCATGTGTATAAAAGACACATTTCTTTGGCCCTAATTTTACTTTGGCCCTTTTCAAAGCACTAAAAACTAGTTTTATACAAATGAGATGTCCTTCAAATCCCATTTCTATTGGCGAATATATCCATAAATCGTCCATAAAATTTATTGCAATTGATTCAAAGCTATCCATATTTTTAATTATCTTTAGTTCTTCTTTTGATAATGTTTGTTTACTTATTTCGAATTCTTCTTTGCAAAAGATTCTTTGCATAAACTTAATAAAAACTGTTGGACTATATATATATCCTTGACTTAGTCTACAAAATTCATATATTTTATCTCCTAAATAGAAAGCTGTCAAGGGACAGGATCTTTCTGTTAATGGTATATGAAAGAAACCATTTGAAAAATCTAAATTTGAAACCATTTTCCCTCGGAGTGCGCCTAAAATTGAATCTAAGGTTGTCAATGAAGGGCTTGTGTTGCCTATACTACAAGCATTAAGATTTCTGAGATCTACGCAAACTCTCCAAGTGTTACCTTGATTTGTCTTCCTGGAGTTTATTTTAGCTGCGATGGTTGAGTCTCTAATATTTCCTGTTTCTATCCGTGGTACTAAACATAAATTTGATTTAAGCTCGGGTGATTCAGATAGTCTTATCACCCCCGATTTTAACAGTACATCTGCTGCCTCCTGGGCTACTTTTAATTTATCCCTTGGCATATACCTCTGTTTTTGGCTTTTATAGTTTGGGTGACACTTATCTACCTTCATATCACAAGTTATCAAATCTGTTTTGCCCACATCCATTTTGGATTTAGCAAAACAATCCTTAAATTTTTCTAATAAAGTCAAAATTTTCGATTGTTGATTCGGATTCAAATGTTTGATGTTTACGTTTTCATACGTCCAGGTTTCCACTTTCTCTGATGGATCTGGTAAGAAAGTTAAATTTTCTTGGAATTCACCCGTTGCATCCCTTTTATATTTAATATCTGGGTTATTTTTTATTAATTCTTCCATGTCGTTTTCGAAACTTTCATCACTTATATCAAAAGTTTCTTCATTTTCATTACTATTATCTATTAAACTATTATATAGTTTCACATCATGTTTGTTTAAGTCATCATCCAATGAACATTTCTTCCCGGTTAGAATATTTATAAAATTATTAAAGGTCATACTTTCTTCAGTATCTTCCGATATTTTATAAATTAGCCCAATATTGTAATCTTTAAATATAGTGATTGGAATATCACTTATATTTTTAATTTCTAATAATATATTTCGGTTTTCCAATTTTATTACTGTTGGTGTTACTTTTACATTTTTTATCATAATATCTTTTTCTATAAGCGCTGTACCTGTTTTCAAATCAGAGTGCAACGCAATCGATATTTGCTTCCCCTGATATGGTGCCAATTCTAGTCTTTCTCCAGATTTCACGTAGCCTGCTGCCTCGTGAGGTTTACTATGGAATAAAACAATGTTATATATTTTATTTTTTCTTGTCAATGAAATGAATTTATTATGTATGGATGCATTTAGGTCCTCGTTTCCTAAAAAACTTTCTCCTAAGATCATATTCCATCCATTTAAATGTGTTGCTACTAAAAATTCTATCGGAATTGTTATATTCTCGCCATTATCTAATTGAAAACTGCAAATTATAATGATTTTTGCTTTTATATTGTTTTTAAGATTACCTCCTGCGGTAAACATTGAACTTTTATAATTCCTTTTATTTATAATTAAGTTTTTTGGAATTTTATTTACTTGATCTTCTTTTAGAAATGCATGTGATGCTCCGGTATCTACCAGACACTCGTACTGTTCTCCAGCTCGTATCCAGGTACACCTCAATCTATTAATTATATCATTGTTAGATGATTTAGTGATATTTAGTTTTATATTTTCAGATGGTCCTAGACTTATAACATTTAATTCCGATTTATTAATGACTCTATTTTTCTTTTTCTCAATGGATCGCATTTTTTCATCCATTAATAACTTTTCAATATAGTCTTGTCTATCCTTGGAATAGTCGTGTTCAGTTTCTGTTAACAGTAAAAAATCTTTCATTATTAAGGTTAAGTGTTTCTCACATTTTGGAAAGTTATTTTCTACTTTAATTTTTGGTAAAGGAAATTTAACATTTATTTCATTGATATGTTCCTTATCTATGACATTATTTGAATTATCAATTGAACTATTATCTTTAATTAATATTTTATTTATTTCGTCTTCGGATGTAATCGGGTTATCTATTAATATATTATTATTATTTAATATATTCTGAGTTAAACCACCCTTGGAATTTAACCCAGACTGTCGTTTTTTTCCTCGGATTCAGTATCAGTGTTATATGTACTGGCATTAGAGTTTGAGCACTCTTTTTCGAAATGGAACCCGTTATGACATTTTTTGCAGGGATTATCATTGAATTTCGTGAATTTCTTACACTCAAATTCGTGGTGCGTCTGCACCCCCTTCAGAGTACATTTTCTGCATAATTTATTCCTTCTGGGGTTGTAGTTTACGTCACAGTTATCTCCTGGTTTAAATTTAGGATATCTTAGCCTAATTTCTAAACTTCTATCTCTAGATGTGATTCTACCTCTATTCTCTGCTGAATCTGTTTTATCATATGATCGTTCGCGATTATAATTAGGTCGTCTTCTCTCTATTGATCTACCGCGTTCCTTCGACCCATTTCTCTCCGAAGATTTACTTCTATCTTCCCTATTATATGTAGATTTTTGTCTTTGCCTATCCCTACCATAGGAAGTATTGTCATATTTATTAAAAGGTCTGTCATATTTATCGCTAGATTTTGACCTTTCTCTGTTCTCTCTCTGTCTCTTGCTATCTCTATCATATGAATCGTTTCTATCTCTTTGTTGCCTCTGGTTATCTCTATCATATGAGTTGTTCCTATCTCTATCATATGAGTTTCTTACATATCTGTTATTTTCAGATTGGGATCTTGGACGAGTTCCAATTTGTCCTGACGATCTTGACCAAGAAGGAGACCTATATCTTCTGTCCGTGTCTCCTCTAAATTTAGACGACGGAGAACGACCATACCGGTTGTAAGTTTTTGAATAGTATCTATTCGGTGATTTTGAATAACCATTAGTTCTATATTCCCTTCTTTCCTGGGAAGTTTGTCTTGATCCATTATAATTATTATCATACCTGTAATTATAAGAGTTGGAGTAACCATTTGGAGACTTGGATCTGTTCCTGTAATAAATAGTATTATCTTGATATGGTTTTTTATTATCTCTGTTACCATTTTTAAACCTATAATATGCATCCCTATCATTTGTTTTATTCTGACCCCTATCTCCATATTGGTTTTCTTGTTTTTTGTCATTATTATAAAATGGTTTATACATCTCTGGATATTTAAAGTATCCATTTCTTTTATCTGAATCCCTTATATTTGTATTATTTAGCTCAATTACGGACGATTCTTCATTATTTGATCCATTAAGGGAATTATAGTCATCAGAATCTGATCTATTACGGTCTGTATTATGTGAAGTTAAATTATCCTCAGATTTCGTTTTATTAATTTCTGTGGTTAAAGTTAATTTCAGAACATGTTCCCTTCTTTCTATCCATGTATTATCAGGTTTGCATCCTATGGTTTTAGCAGTATTAAACTCATCTTTTGAAATCTTCATCATATATTCTACATTGTCATCCCAAAGAAGACTAACGTTTTGATTAATGCGACCTGTTTTCATAGCTTGTATTAATGCCAATTGCATAGTTAAGTCACAATCCTTTAAAGGAACGCAATAAAAGTTATTATTAAATTTTATATATGTTGTAATGTCATCCTCGCTCCTATCTCCAAAACATGTCCCTAAGGTTTTAACTCCTTGTCCTGACTGCTCTTGATCTAAGCTATTAACCTTACTTGAATATATAGGTTGCCTCCTTTTAAAGCATGCATTCGTAAATTCAAATTCCTCATCGTCTGAATTATTATCTACTGAAAGTATATTTTTGCTTTGTATATTATGCAAGTTATGGGTTTCCTTTATGTTATGAAATTCTTGTACGGACGATTTCTTAGCATTTCTACCATATTTCAATGGCTCAGCAGGAATATTAACATCGTTTTGCTCTAATCGTAGACACATATCCTTATAATGTTCGTAATAATAATCTTGGTTAAGTTCCTTTTTCCTCTTTATATCATTCGTGACTTCTAAAGATATTTTGTCGTTAACAAATGACGTCAATGCTACGAAATGATAATTTTCGCGTACTTTTTGTTGGTTTGGATCTGGAAATATTTTTCTAATGTAGGACTCAGCCTCGGATAGAATCAATTGTAATGGAGTATTTACCTCTCTTGTTAATTTACGCAATGCTCCCCAAAATACAGTTGATTTATGAATTGGTTTAACCGATTTTATGAGCGAGTCTGCTATTTCATTAATGTGCATATGCGAATACAAGTCTTGATTTAACCCCCCTAAACGGAGAAATCCCATGAGGGCCAAGTGGACATCTCCCTCAGTATAGCCACTTGATTTTGAAAGACTTTTTAAATCTTCCATGACTGCTTCCCAATTTATAATCTTTTTCTCTGAATCTATATACGATATACATTTTTTTATTTCTAACTGTATCCCATAACTGTAAGAATTAGCAACCGTAAAACCTACGCGATTTTCCTGGTCCCCAAGTTTAACATATTTCTTTCTTAAGTTGTCTCGTTTAAATTCTGCTGTTCCATCTAACCAGGTCTTGCTCAAGTAAATTATATTTGTTGTACCGTATGATTCCATATAGTCAGATAATTTAAAGCTTAATTTATTCAAATCATCAAGAACACTTTCCATTGAAAAGGTTTTTATCTCAAAGTCAAATTTTTTCTCCTTTTCTTTTTTCTCGGATTTGTTCAAAAGGCTTTTAATCTTTATAAATTTCTTGTCCGGATCAAGATTTTCAGATGAAGGATCGGAATTTTTGCATAGAGACAAATTTACATTTTTCAAGATTTGAGATATTTCTTGCACGTTTTGAGGATTTTCGTCCTTAAGTATAGATAATGATATAATAGCCTCTAGTTGATTTATCCTCTCTAAAGAGTTTTCTAGCTCAATATCCCGGATAGACATCGTGGTTTATTATTTATTGAATATAGAATATATCGTAAATCGAAGAAAATTATTCACAATTGATTTTCTTTTCTAATTACTCAACAAGAAAGTCTGCTGATAAGTCCAAGACGAGTATGCAGATTTTCACGTAGCTATAGTTAAACTATATATTTTCAATTAATAGCCTTATTAAATATTACAGTGTAAATGTCTCAGAAACTGAATAGATTTATTTAACAAGAAGTGAAAATCTGATATTCAATGTTACTGTAATTCTGATATTCTTTTCTTTATATTCTCAAAATTTAATCCAAACAAGCATTTAGTTATGTTGCAGTTTATACTCTATTCTCTACATCAAAAACAATTGTTGTTAACACATAATTTATTTATATATATATATTTCGATTATAACAATTTTAACAGATAACTATTCTGATTCTCAATGTTACTGTAATCTTGATATTCTTTTCTTTATATTCTTAAAATATAACCCAAACAAGCATTAAGTTATGTCGCAGTTTATACTCTATTCTCTACATCAAAAACAATTGTTGTTAACACATAATTTATTTATATATATTTCGATTATAACAATTTTAACAGATAACTAGTTCTTTATTGTATATTTTCGAATAACACAATTTTTATTAAATTGATAATCTTGTGGTATCCAATGTTTTAATATTCCGTAACCTGGTATATTTTTATCCAGGATTACTGTATTATAAATTATCAATCTGGGACACTAATAATCTGGTGTCCTTATGCCATTCAGATAGTGTGGATTTTTTAATCCTACGTATCTGGTGATATTCCACTCGGATATTCTTATAATTCTTTGTTTCTGGCGATATTCCTTTGGATATCCTTATAATTCCTTGTATCTGGTATTATTCCTCTTGGATATCCTTATAATTCCTTGTATATGGTAATATTCCACTTGGATATCCTTATAATTTCGAAACTGAATATTTTAGTTTCTCGAATTTAGATAATCCGACGCTCTGATATCCTTGATTACCGGATTCTTTTCTTCCGGTATACTGTTTATATTATAGACTGAATTTGTGTCCCGCTATTTAAATCATGGATTAAACTTATCCAACAAAAGTGTACTTGTCGTTATGTTAAATTAAAATAAATGCTGTACACAATAGCTAGGCATGAAATATTTGAGTAATTTTACCTCGGTTAATTCATGTTTTCCATAAATCCATTAACCATAATTCCATTAATCCATACTGCTATCAGTTATTCCACCTGGTATAGAGTTATAATATTCAATGTGTTTTACCTTGATTAATGTATATATCCAAGATCCATAAATCCATTAATCCATGCTGCTACCAGTCGTTCCACCTGGTATAGAATTATTTTATTCAATGTATTGTACCTTGGTTAATGTATGTTCTCCAAGATCCATATGTCCATTAATCCATGCTGCTACCAGTCGTTCCACCTGGTATAGAATTATTTTATTCAATGTGTTGTACCTTGGTTAATGTATGTTCTCCATGTATCCAAGATCCATAATTCCATTAATCCATTCTGCTACAGGTCATTTCCTCTGTAACAAATATTATCTAGAGTTATATGTTAATTAGATATATCTCCCTTCTTTCTTCACATAACGATAAATAATTTACAAAGTTTTTGTATTTTTATTTTTCTCTTAACAGAATTTACAAATTGTTTATTTATGTTTCAAGTTTGCATGAGGGCAATGTATTTTGCACCAGTTCAGCAAGTTTTATCAAAATATTTATGTTTAATGTTTAGGTTTGCATGAGGGCAATGTCTCGTGCACCAGCTCAGCAAGTTATCAGATTATGCAAATGTTATTTGCCATAATGTCAGGATTTTATAATAAATATTTCCATAATTAATTTGCTAAAATACAACCCCTANATATTTTCAAAATTGATAATATTAAAAAATGAGAAGTTTGCTTTTTCAATCTTATTCTCTCAAATTAAAGAATTCCAGGAAGTTAAGTTTGTTTTGTTTTCAATCCAGATTTTCCTGTTATAGATTTTTTCAAAAAATTTTTAAGTTTGCTTATAGATATTTAGCTTTTTCCAAAATAATAAGAAATATTCAAAGAATTTCTATTTCGATCTAAATCCAGATATTTAGTCTTCAAATATTAATTTTTGAATCTAGACTTGAAATCCAAATTAATAAAAATTTTGATTTATATTTTTATTTTATTTTCCAGATATTTCAAGGAAAGATAAAAATTCAAAATGAAAAACCAAAATAAAAATTTTGATTTATATTTTTATTCTATTTTCCAGATATTTCAAGGAAATATAAAAATTGAAAATGAAAAACCAAAATTAGGATTTTACATTTTTTACAAAGAAATGATTCCAGTAGACAGGCGTTTTCTAGCTAAAGTTAAAGGAATTTATACTAAAAACTTGTATTTTCTTGGATTTACAGAAAAAAGATTTTAAATTGAGTTTGTACAATTTAGTTTTTCTCCAAAATTAGATTTTTGATCTTAAATATCAGTATGTCTGGATTCAAAAGTCTGTATATCTTTTGCTCAATAGAGTAAAAAATTTGCAAAAAGAAATCTCTAAAATTTAGATTTTCTTTCAAAAATATATTTTTTGAATTTAAGTATCAGAATAACTGGATTCAAAAGTTTGTAACTTTTTTGCTCAATAGAAAAGAAGTTTGCAAAAAGAAATCTTCAAAATTTTAGATTTTTCTGTAAAAATATGTTTTTGAATTTAAATATTAAAATATCTGGATTCAAAAGTTAGTAACTCTTTTGCTCAATAGCAAAGAAGGTTGTAAAAAGAAATCTTCAAAAATATGTTTTTGAATTTAAATATTAGAATATCTGGATTCAAAGATTTGTAACTCTTTTGCTCAATAGAAAAGAAGTTTGCAAAAAGAAATCTCCAAAATTTTAGATTTTTCTTTAAAAATATGTTTTTGGACTTAAATATTCGAATATCCGGATTCAAAGGTTTTATCTCTTTTTGATTATAGAAAATATGAAGAACTTAATTTTCAAATTTTAGATTTTCTGTAGAAAATAAGTTTTCAGTTAAAATATAGAATATCTAGATTCAAAAGTGGGTATCGAAAAACGCTCAATACAGAAAAGATGCAAAAATGAATCTATAAAATGCAGATTTTTCTCGAATAAAATAGATCTTGAATTTAAATATCAAAATATCTTTGTTCACATTTTGTAATTTCAATAAACTTTGTTTAGTGGCTTTTTCTCTCAAGACTTTCAATTTATTAGCTTAATTCACTGAATTTTGGTTAAAATAACAGAATAATTCAATTCCAAAGTTAATATTCTTTTTAAGTTAAAAAATTCTGGTTTCTCTATGTGAATCTTTAAGACTCATTTCAACAATTTATCTGTATTTTCTTAAAAATCCTCTTTTAACTTGAACTCGAAATTTTATATTTTTTACAGAAAATCCATCTATAAACTTAAAACTCAGACATAGCCTTTTTTCGTTAAAGTAGATATATCAAAAAGAGATTAGAATATATCAAAAAGAGATTAGAATATATTAAAAAGAGATTAG